TACTCTGAATCATAAGCAGTTTGTGCCACATGCTAAGCCACAAAAACATTAACCAAGATTAAGCAAGTTTAGCATTTTGTGTAAATGGCAACTGATAGATCTGTCACTGACCTGGGTAAGTCTTGGCTCTACCACTTCCTGCCCCAACCCTTTCACATTTTGGAAGGGGGTTCCTGGCGTGCTACTCCAAAGCTGATGTGGCTCTCAGCTCAAAAATAAAAAAATCCTGCATATCGCTGTAGAGAGATCTTAGAAAATCAGTCAGTTTATTCCAAAATAGGGCATTGGAGGAATGCAGTTTAGTTTTATCCCTCTTGTAAATATCTCTGAACTTTACTTAATGAGAAACCTATGGGATCTCCTTAAGGGAATCATGTCATTAGTTCGTGTCTCAAATCAACATGAACCAGCGGTGGTTTCTAATGAGAGACTGCCTTCTAATAGTCTACTGCCTTTGTAGAACTGTTACATATGATCATCTTTAATATGCAAGGACCAGACTTGTGAAGACAAACAATGTGATTCTAAAGTAATGCAGATTATGCAAAGATACAGATACATTCTGTAGGCAAGTATCCTTATAAGGGCTCCTAGATATGAGGGTTTAAGTTTTAAGATGAGAAGCATTTCTCTTAAGAACTTGTATAGCAAGAGTTTTTACTCAGGTCCCTATTAACAGAGGGTGAAGGGGAACACTATGTCTCTAATCCTTTTTGAGTATGTTTATGATTTCTTGGCAACCAGCATTCCAATATTATGACAGCTAGGGCATGTAGAATTAGACTTGTGAAGACTTCCTTTTGTTGAAGCTTAGCCATGTTACCCTCAGGATATCTGCCAGACCCCACTGATTGCTCTAAAGGGAGAGTGAAATTTGATTATGGCTCTTGGACTCAGCGGTTTAAATGGAGTCTCTTTGGAAGCTTCCTAGAATTTGAAAGAAAAATGAAAATTGAAGGCTAGTTTTCATACCAAAAGAAGAGAGAGCCCCACGTCAAGGTTAAGTTATGGAAATCCCTGGATATCCTTATGGTTATCTTCTACTTATCTGCATCAACCACCCTAGTTAGTTGTCTGACTGGAAAGAAAGTACATAGAAACATCTCTAACGTAAGCACCATTGAAGTGAACTCCATGCCTGGACAAAGTGGTGGTTTTCAACATAATCTGTTTAATAAACAACTATTGGGTAGGTTCACACAACATGTTGTGCCAAATTCAAAACCACAACATGAAAGCAAATTTAGTCAATGCCTTGAAGACTTAAGTCAAATAGAAAAATCATCAGTAAAAGGATTAACAGTGGGCTCCTATCAATTTTATAACTATAAATAATGCAATTACATTTTAGGAGTAAATGTACATGGGTGCTACTAAAGCAGAAATTGTAAATTTACTAGCAAGGACATCTTACTGAACATAAACAGGGTGTCCTTTTAAATAAATTTAAATAGAGCTGCTTTAAAGAACAATCTGTCCATGTTAGTATACTTTTTTAGAGTAACAGGTTCACTGGCAGTATTTTCTTCATTGTTAACTTTAATTATTATTTGCCTTTAATGATGAAAAAGCAATCACTTTAAAAGAAAACAAATGAAACCCAGCTCACAATTGTTACTAAGGTACATATCAACCATAACATTTATTTGTGCCAGCTGTTCACACAATCCCAAATTGTGGTTATTAAGATGCTACTCTTTGGATTTAATAATTCCACTATTTGATGATTTTAAGGAAGATTTTAAGATAAGTTAATGGATTTTGTAGGAAGAGAAAAATGCAATAATGTTCCTTTGTTGAACTGAATTACAGGCTTTTCAAAGGTGTTAAAATGAAACACTGACATAAAAGCTACTGGTGAACTGATAACCTACAGAAAGGAATTCCCTGAGGATGCTGTACAAGTGAATATTAATTAAAACAAAGAATGATCTTGAGAATCCATCCTGTCCTTTGAAAAGAATGAATGAATAAATGTAATTACAAATTGAAGGACATACCTGAAGTTAAATAATATCTTAATTACTAACCTAGTGCACTTTACTGAACACAAGTCCTTGAAATCAAATGAAAGTTAGAAATGATAATCTAGCATTTTTTACCAAAGCTTGCTTTTTCCAAATTGAGTTTGCTATTTGAGAAGTAATGAAACAATAAAATAATATGGATTACAAAACATATTGTTCATAATGAATGGAATCCTGCCATTCCAACCAACCCTTTCTTCTAAAAGTATTTTCCTCATTCATTACTGTCCACTCTCTCAGTATTTCAACCCCAAACTAGGTAAGATGTATTTAGTAAAGTTAAGCAAAAGTGAGTCGATTAACCTCTTTTTTAAATTAATTGAGTCAGGCTGCTTCTGACTAACTTTGTTAAATCACTCTTGGCATTTGCACTGCCCAGAATAAGATGCCAGCATTTCAAAACTGTTTAATCCATCCACCCTTTCCGGGCATGCTTGACCACACCTCAGGATTTAACATGCTGGCAATTTGAAAGCTCTAACGAGTTTCAACTAGAACTAATTTAATATCCGGGATTTGTAAAGGATTCTTCATTCAAAGTATTTCCAAAATAGGAAGAAGAATTGTACGTAGTTCTTGGCCAAACTTTTGGTTTGTAGAAATCTGTATTTTATAGGTCTGAGTTATAATTGATGTACCAGAAATTGTTTAAAAGAGGGAGAAAGTAGTTCACAGAGTTTTGCTTAGGAAAAATTAAAACATGACTAATAATTATGTGAATCAGAAAGATTTGATATGACTTGTTCAACACACTTATTTTGCCTCCAGGATATAAAGCATTGTTAGGGTTGTCCATCCTAGTTGTGTGTGTGTGATTTGTTGAATTCATAAAGCTGCTTCCATCCACTTCAGGCTGCAGCATCCTTGAGAAACATCACTATTCATATTTCTTATGAAATGCAGACACTATATGTCTGTCAACACAAAGTTTCATAATTCCAAGTGGCACTTCATGAAGGAAGAACTTCAAATAATCACAAAGAGTAAAGCATCACTAACCCATACAGCCTACCAAATGACATGGTCACAGTCTCTTGCTTTTATAGTGAAATTTGTTCCCAAAAGTGACTTGGGTGTTATTGGAACTGATTTTCATACCAATTTAAAAAAACTGATCTAGTGAAGATTACAAAGAAATGGGGTATTTTTTTTTTAAAAAAAAAAAGCAGAAAATCTGGCCATAGAGGTAGGCTTCAATATATAAATTACCTCTTCTGTATCTATGAATTATAATAAAGATTCCACTTATTCAGAAATTATAAGCCCTAATCAATAGATCTATGAGTTGAGAAGCAATCTGCACCTCTGTCACTTTGCTGCGGGAGACTCACATGGCTAATTGTTATTCTCCATGGTTGTTGTTATTGTTCTGCTCTCTCTCATCCCCATAAGCTTTGATAATAATCAAGCAGTTGAAGACTAACTGGCCCCAAACCACCAATTTTTAGAATGATGCTCCTTTTACTTGAATCCAATGTGATGCGTTCTCAGTAGAATCCATTCCTACATTTAGCTTTTTTCCTCAACTGCTTAGCAATTAAGTCAGCAAACATGCACTTGTGAATGTACCCTAAACTAAGCTGTACCCAACCAGTATGACTGTCATCCAAATGACTAAATTATGGAAGAGGGAACACACACGAGTTGTTTGAGGGAGACCAAGCAGGACACATCAAACCTACCATTTCCAGCATTAAAAAAAATAAATAAAAATCAACAATCCTCCTAAGCTGGGAATAACATCTATTAAAGCAGGTCTCCAATTGTTTCCAGATGAATCTTTTGTCGTGCAATTGCCCACCTTTTTTTATGAGACGCACACATTATGATCTTTCACTGGTAGCTCTCTCATGTTTTTTTATCACTCTTTTTCCTTAAAACCCAAAATCCATAAAGGGGGGAATAATTTAAATGCCTGCCTTTAGCTAGTCTTGCATTGGATTGGATTGTCTGTGACCTTTTCCCCAATGGTCTCCAGCAACAAGTGCTAAAATAGTTTTGATAACCTTTGATAAATAGGTTTAATAAATTTGATAGAAGGATAAACTTTTGAAAATTACAGAAATGATAACCTCCTACAAATGACAGTAAGACAGCTTCACTGAAATCCAAAGGTCTATCTTGAGAGTAAATGTACTGAGGATTAGTTCTTTGTGTGTTTATTAAATATAACCCTGGACTTTGTGAAACATTAACTCCAAACAGATGTGGAGATAGTTGTGTATATCAGTGTTTGAAGATAAATCTGGATGTTTGGGTGATTTGCAGGAGACGGGAAGTCAAAAACTCTTGCCACTTACTTAACCATCAAAACAGCTGATTTGTTCTTCCCTGCCTATAAAGTGAGTTGCTGAAAAAAATGTTTGAGGAGAAGCAAGGGGAGGATTTTTGGGTGAAAGGTACTGTGAGCTTGGCTCTGGGGCTGATCACAAATTCCTACCCTGATTATGTCCTCAGATGCATTCTGTTTATTAATTAAGACCATATATCCACACAAGCTCTGGATGATTGGCCTCAATATTCTAGTTTAAAAAAAGTAGATGCCACAAAGCCGAAGATTTGGCAGAATGATGACCCGTGAGCCACATTCGTTTGATCATCTCTCTTTCTCATTATGCTTCAAAAGGGGGCTGATATCTGATTTTCCTTTCAAAAAAATACCAAGGTGAGTGCAGCAGAACTATCCTCTGCCCCCTTCTTAGGACCAGTGCCCCAAATCTCTTCTTCTTTTAGCCAGTCCCAGTAATCAGCTAGCTGCTGAAATCAGTATCTCTATATCCTCAACAGAACAGGAATAGGAGTACAAAAATGGCATCACTCTTACTTCATAAATTACTCAATCACGATATATTACTCAGACATTCCTTATTTACATCAGATGAAGAACTCATCCAGAATCTCAGATATTCAGAGAAGTACCCAGATCACATAACCCCACATTCTCATTGGCCAGTGTATTTACGTTTTACTTACCAATTGGCATGATTAAAAAGAAAGGAAGCCAACAGAGGATGAAACATCCCACAACGATTCCCAAGCTCTTAGCTGCTTTCTTCTCCCGAGAGAACTTTAGAAGCCTCACAGAGAAATTGGATTTGTGCTTAGTGCTAGGAGTAGCTCTCGCAGCTTCAGTGTTGTTCTTATGGTGAATGCGGAGAGTCACTTCTTCTGAATGGGACTTCTCAGTCTTCAGGCCACATGACAATCCTTTGCTTTCCCTTTTGGCTACCACATACACCCGGCAATACATCACCAGTATGATGATCAGGGGGAGATAGAAGGACCCAAGGGCAGAAAACAATACATAACTTGGGTCAGTGTTGATCTTACAGATATTTTCATCTTCTGGATCTGGCTGTCTCCAGCCAAAGAGGGGACCTATGGATATCATGAGCGATAATGCCCACACACACAGCAGAGCCAAGAGACCTCTCTTTTCTGTCACTATGGCTGGATATCTCAGTGGGTAACTCACTCCAATATATCGGTCTATAGAGATGACACAAAGGCTCATGATGGAAGCTGTGCAGCATAGAACATCAACAGCTGCCCAGATGTTGCAGAAGATCCTCCCAAAAACCCAGTAGCCCAGGATCTCAAAAATAGCAGAAAAGGGGAGGACAATAGAAGTCAAGAGGAGATCGGCCACAGCCAAGTTGATAATGTAATAATGGGTTACACTTTGCAGATGTTTGTGACATGCTACTGAAAGGATAACCACAATGTTGCCCAGGACGCCAAAAACAATCAGCCCTCCAAAGATGACTCCTAATAATATGGCCTTGGAAATATTTACTTGCTCCACAGTCTGGGTGCAATTTAAGCAGTCAGGGGCAGAGATGTTCTCAGAGGTCAGTCCCATTATCAAAACTGGTTAATGTTCATCCAGTGTGTTTGTGATTCTCTCTGCCCTTTCTTTGAAAGAGCCAAGAGCAAATATTTGATAATGTTGGGAGAAGCTTTATTTCCACATTGTAGATAGAAACTAATTGGAAATACTAGTCTTGCTTTATAAATGCAGAGGAGGGAGCAAAACACTAGACTAAGGAACATATTCAAAAATCCACATTTCTTCTTTCATGTTTGCTCCAGGTAAAAACATAGGCATTTCTTGTTCTCATAAATGATGCCAAAGCAATTCTAAAGCCTCTCTTTAGGACAGTCTTTTGAAGTTTACCATACCTTGCTGGATGTTTGATGATGAAACCATATTAAACAGTGAGCTAAAGACCTTTTTCTTAATTTCTGTTTAGTTTTTAAGATCATAGCCATGGAGCCACAAGATGCTTTTTGCTACTAAGCAAGGAAAATTGGATTTGTAGAAGGGTCATCAAATTCCAAACTCTGTTTCTTTAAGAATTCTTACTGGAAAGATGTAGCACAAATAAGAGCAGTATATTCTTTGCTCTTACTCACTTGTGTCTCCTTCATATATGACTTTGAAAATCTTCCCAGGTGAAAGAAAAGTTCTGTCTGTCACTCTGGCTGACTCTTCTCAACATCTAGTCTTTTCATCCATGACTAGCATTATGATCTTGAGTTGCTGAAGAAGCTGTAAGAACTGTAGAGTTGTGACACCTTGATCCAGCGTATGATCCTTTTAACAAACGTTGGTTATAGACCCGCCAGGAACTCTGAGGAGGTCACGATCTGTGCTCTTTTGCTAGATAGATGGGCTGTCTCCTAAAGAAGTCAAAAGGAGAAAAAAAGGTCAAAAACCAGGCTTCTTGTTGGCAAATATCCTGATGACAACAATTTTCCAAAATTAGGAATCAAATTTTACTGAGTTTTCATTGTCACCTACCGACTGCTGTTTACTGGAATGTTGCTTGCTCATTGGGTGATGCTTCTCAACCCCGTGTAAACCAGATTGCTTCTTACTGTTTTTCATCAGATCATACCTCTGAACCTTGGGCAGTAACAATTTTGCTCCCTGACAAATTGATCATTGAATACCTTGCAGCAGCCCCAGGGAAAAAAAAAAAAAGACAATATTGTGCCTTTTTGAACAAGCGGGTGTATGCATGCTTTCTTTCTGTTCCATCTGTTGCAAGCAAAACTGTCTGCGGCTTTATGCCAAGAAGAAATTGTGGACATTTTCATGCTAGGCTCACAGTAGTTTGCAACATACAGAACTGATATTGCAGTGATTCCTCTTCCACTTCCTCCTCTGCATTACGAATGAGCCTTATTTTAACTTAAAGGGTAACTGAGAAAGCTCCGATTGTGATTTAAGATGCACAGCTGAGGATATGATGCTTACGATGCAGGGAATTCTCCTTACAGACTAGTTTTTATTTGGTCTGATCAAGACAGCTTGATTGGTGTCATGGAATGTTCTGTTTGCAATACCTGAATTTAGCTCTGAACTCAGTAAAAAAATACCTTCAGCATAAATGAACCTTACCTCTATAGTAATACACAAGCAGGAGATCCCAGGGCCAATTCCTGGGGATCTCTAATTAAAAGGAACAAGTAACAGATGACCATAAAGATCAACTCCCTGTCTAAGACTTCAGAAAGTGGCTGTGAGTTAGAAGAAACAATATTGGACTGGATGGACAAATGGTCTGATCTGGCAAAATAAAGCTTGTCATGTTCCAAGATTAGAAAGCTGGGCATTCAAAGATCTGGCCGTAGGCTTACCACCCATCTTTCAAGAAATTAAAGTCATGAATATGAGAAATTGTTTTGAGCAAATGCATGTTTTCAAACAAGTGATCGCACGTCATTCCCAGCGTCCCCGCGCAGTAACCCTCAATGGGAAATGTGTTCTTGATGAAATCAGTGCGTGCATTTCTCTCTACAGAGGATGGACCGGTATTTCCACAGACTCAGTTTTGGATGCTCCAAATAAGCAAGCAAAGGAGCTGGTTGCATAATTCACTCATTTAGTTCCCACAGATTTTAAATGTCTTCCAAGGCATTCTAAGCCCGAGCACTCATCCCATTCTGTAACCAGAAATGTCCTTCCCAGTTTCTCAGAGTTTTTCCTAGCCTCAGTTTCTTTATCCCAGGGTTCAGTTAATCCTCCTCTAGGATTCCAGACATTGTTGGAGTCCAACTTCCATTAGTGCTAGTCAGAATGGTTAGAGGTGTTGGGAATTACAGTACAACAGCACCTGGAAGTCACTCAGTTTGTTCTCCATCTTTTATTTTAAGTGTGGGCAAATGGGTGAAAAGGACATACTTGTTATTCATTATTAGATTAAATTTATTATATTATAGATTATTTTATTATTCTTTGGCAGTTGAGTGTTTCTGGAGTCTGACAATGATGCCATCAGAGACACCGGGACCAACATTTTCAAGCTCTGGTTTTTGGGTTGTGATTTTGAGGGGTTAATTCTTAATATTAATAGACGTATTAAGCCTCTTATGGTTTTCTTTTCATTTCACAGAAAAAAAATCAGTAAGAAATCATACCAATGTAGCTGGGTGGTTTCCTGCCAAATTTCAGTGCAGTTATCTGGGGAAATTCCAGGGACTAGAAAAAGTTTAGGGTCCACTGATAGACAAGAAGTTGGCAATCCAAATTTATTAGGCAGAAAACAAAGATGGTTGAAAATGCAAAGAAGGCTAAATAAGGTTGCTCTAGCAAAACAAAACAAAAGTTATAGGAATATCCCAGACCGTTGGTCTATTAACATGACATTGGCAAAGGGTCTTTCCAGCTACATCTGGAGAGTCCAAGAACTGCACCAAGGATTTTAAACATGTGCCGTGTTCCTGAGCTACGATTTCCCCAAAGGGCTGTTCCCAGTTAAGAATAGCAAAGATAGTAACATCATAAAACAGGAACTCTTTCCTATAGGATTAATAATGGCAGAAAAAGAAGAAATCAGACATTAGTCTGACCATATCTCCCATAAGTAGAATATGAACACACACACACACACACACACACACACTAATCCATGAGATGCTGCTGTAGAAGTGATATTTTAAACTCTTAGATTCTGTTCCTTTAGGGTTCAGGGGTTTCTCTCCTGCGACAGGGGTCAAATTAAACAGCAAAGCTCAGAACATTGTGTTACTGCCAATTGCTTATGGTTTTGAAGGGTCATTGCTCTTATCTCTTTGGATACAAATGGGTTTTGCATACAAATGGTATAGAGTGCAGATCTGTTGGACGCCTTGCATTTTCTGGCCTTTTGGACCCACTATTTACAACTGTTATCTATGTGTGCATGTTTGTGTGTGGAAGGTTGGTCAACTAAGGACGACAATCCATGCATCGGATGAAGTAAACTCCATGCATTAAAAAAGCAAAACACCCTCTTAGTCTTTAATAGGACCCATATTTCCTGGAGGTAGAAACTCTGCTGGATTTCTCCATGATAATAGGGTAACAATTTTAGATTTTAACTGCAAATTAAAAAAAAAAAACTTTGTCCAGTTATTTTTCTTTTTTTTAAAAAGAACGAAAGGTATTCATTCCTTAAAAAGCTGACTTATATTGCAGTGGTGAAAATAGGTGAAAATTCAGACATACCTTTAGTGGGAGAACATTTCATAGCCAATGGGAAATTGAAGCAATAAATGTGGCTCCACCATCACCAAAAATAGGGCTGGGGGGAATGCAAGCCAGTATAAAATACTAGGAAATGAGGGATATTAATAAGCAGACATACAAATATAAACATTACAACCCATTTCTAGGTAGTTTTTCTTCATTCTTTCTTCTCTGCTGTTTGTTGTAAACCCCGGGGAATTAATTAAATATGAGAAATCCATAAAATATATGATGGAGACATATCCCAAGCAGGGAAAGAAATCTTACCAACATTACTCAGAGGGAAGGAAGGAAGGAAGGAAGGAAGGAAGGAAGGAAGGAAGGAAGGAAGGAAGGAAGGAAGGAAGGAAGG